GCTGAATACAGCACCTCAGACTGAGGAAGTCTCTCGGATGAGAGACGAAACGTTTCTACATTTTTTGTTGTTTTGCTTTTTTTTTTTTTTGAATGTCCAGAGGACCAGATTTAATTTTTTTAGATTTAAATACACACACACTAACAAGACTAACACAGAACACCTGTGAAACATCACAGGTGCAGACATCAGAGGGGAACAGACAAATATGGAACACTAGAGGGAGACAGAGACCAGGGAAAGCACAACTCCTAACAGTACCTCCCCCAAGGATGTCCCTTAACGTCTCCAAGACCCCACACCCCCAAAACGTGGGTGGGAGGAGGGGGAAAGCCAACAGGGAGGAGGGCACTAGGAAAACAAAACAAAAAGAGACACAAGTGGAATGAAGAACTGGACAGGGTACACTAGGGGCAAGGTACAACACATGGAAACAAAAGGAGGTCAGAGTTCAGGTAGGGAACTGTGAGATTGTCCAAAAAGCAGGAAACAGGTCAGACAGGCAACCATTCACCAGGCCGGGGCCAGTCAGGCGGGTGGCCGAGAGGTTGTCCAATAGGCAGGAACAGGTCGGGCAGAGCAGAAGTGAGGACCTCAGCAGGCGGATCAGCAGCGAGGAGCTCTTCTGCGACTGGATCGTCTGGGGCTGGATCTTCGACGGCAGTATCTGGAGCAGGAGTGGAGTCTGTCTGGACCCCCTCGGAACAGTAGAGGTGAGGAGCGTCCGCCGGGACCCCCTCGGAACAGGAGAGGTGAGGAGAGTCCGTCGGGACCCCCTCAGAACAGGAGAAGTGAGGAGCGTCCGCCGGGACCCCCTCGGAACAGGAGAAGTGAGGAGCGTCCGCTGGGACCCCCTCAAAGCAGCAACAGGATCTGGAGTAGACGTTTCTGGGTGTGTGGGCTCAGGACAGGTTGGGTCCTCACACAGCATGGATGATACAGAGGCTGCAGGAGATGGAAAAACTACGGGGACTGTAGTAGGCATGGGAGCGACCACAGTGGCTGCAGCTGTGAGACCCTCAGGAGGCAGGAGCAGAAACCGAGGAAGCGCCGGGGGTGTAACTGGAGGCTCAGAGTCTCTAAAAGGAACCCCGCAGCTTGTCTTCCAGGGACAGAGCAGTGAGAGTCGGGCTGCCTGCTGGGTCTTGGTTTGGTCTGGTCATTCTGTGATGATTTCTAGGCAGGAGACCCATTTGGTGCAGGCAGGCCGGCAGGCAAGACTCAAAGAATATAAATCAATAATTTATTATTTACAAAATAAAGATGGCTGACGGGGCAGCAAACTTACATAAATCATGGGACAGGACGCAGGACACAAGGAGCAGGACACGAGGAGCATAACAGGCATCACAGTGAGACACAATGACCAGACAATGAGGGACGCAGGCAAACAGACTTAAATACACACACACTAACAAGACTAACAGAACACCTGTGAAACATCACAGGTGCAGACATCAGAGGGGGAACAGACAAATATGGAACACTAGAGGGAGACAGAGACCAGGGAAAGCACAACTCCTAACAAAATGAGGCAACTTTAAAAATTTCACTAGAGCCTGATTTATGTTTGGACAGTTTTTGTCCTGTTGAGCTCTCTGAATTGTCACAAATAATAACCTCATCCAAACCACCCACATGTCTGCTAGATCCCATCCCAACCAGACTGTTTAAAGAGGTATTTCCCCTAATTAATGTGCACATTTTGGATCTACATAATTTGTTTTTAATAGTATAGTATAGTATAGTATAGTATAGTATAGTATAGTATAGTATAGTATAGTATAGTATAGTATAGTATGAAGTTTATTCATTTTAAAAATACAAAACAATTCCATAACTATGTAAAAAAAATACAAGAGATTTAAAATGAAAGGCAGCAGAAAGAAGAAAAAATCTTATTATATCTGCCCCTTTTTTCAAACAATTAGTTCAATCATAATAATCTTCAAGTAACAGAACAAAACTAATAACTATTTCTAATTTTTCTAATTCTGATACAAAAACACACTAAGCTACTTCATATATATATTTTTTAACAATTCAGCTTTGATCTTTTTCTTAAATGTACACATTGACTTGGCATTTTTAACATCACTCTTTAGACCATTCCACAATCCAATTCCTTGGATTGAGGTAGACCTTCCCTTCAGACTAGTTCTGAATTTTGATTTGACAAATATCTCTGTCCCCTTAAGATTATAACAACTTTGCCTTTTAACAAAATGTCTTTGGATATTTAATGGTAATTTAATGGTTACCATTAAATTTGTCTTTAATAAATGGTTATGTACCACACCGCTTTAAGGTTGCTGTAATTAAACCTTTACTTAAGAAGTCTGACCTTGATTCAGACATTCTGGCTAACTGTAGACCTATATCTAATCTAACTTTCATCTCAAAAATTCTAGAGAAAATAACAAAGTCCATGCTCAATAATCCAGGTGTACAATCCAACATTTTTCAGTCAGGTCATCTGGACAGTCTTTTTTGTGTGCTGAAACATTTCGCCTTCGATCCGGAAGGCTTCATCTGTCAAGGAAACACACAACACAAAACTGATTCTTCCTCCCACAGCTTACTCCAAAGTGGAACATCCCAGTTATGTTGGTGCTAAGATGGTCTCTGTGGCACGCACCCTCCTCCATTGCTGGCCCTCTTCCTTGTTGACAATCGTGTCAAACTGGTTTCTAGAGAAAATAGTTGCAGGTCAGTTGCGTGAACATCTACAAAGAAATAATCTGTTTGAAGAGTTTCAGTCAGGGTTTAGAGCTTATTTTAGCACAGAAACAGCACTAGTAAAAGTAACTAATGATATTCTCATGGCTTCAGACAATGGACTTGTGTCTATACTGGTCCTGTTAGACCTCAGTGCTGCATTTGATATGGTTGATCACAATATTTTACTAAAGAGGCTTGAATATGATATTGGGATTACAAGAACAGCTCTAAAATTGTTTAAATAATATCTATCTGATAGATTCAAGTTTGTAAATGTAAATAATACATCTTCTTCATACACCAAAGTTAGCCATGGAGTTCCTCAGGGCTCAGTGCTTGGGAAATACTCTTTACTTTATATCTGCTTCCATTAGGTAAAATTATTAAACAGCATGGGATAAATTTTCATTGTTATGCTGATGACACACAATTATATTTGTCCATTAAACCCAATGAATCCAATCAGCTACTTACACTACAAGCATGTCTTAAAGACATAAAAACCTGGATGACCCTTAATTTTCTGTTGTTGAACACAGACAAGACTGAGGTTTTGGTTTTTGTACCTGAGCACCTTAGGAATGATTTTTTCAATCTTTCTCCCTCCTTAGATGGCATTAATCTGTCTTCCAGCTCTAATGTTAAAAATCTTGGTGTTATTTTTGATCAGGACATGACTTTTATCCCCCACATAAAAAGTTACTAGAACTGCCTTCTTCCACCTGCGTAATATCACTAAAATTAGAAACATCTTATCTAAAAATGATGCAGAAAAACTGGTCCATGCATTTGTCACATCTAGACTGGACTATAGCAATGGTTTATTATCTGGATGTCCAAAAACTTCCTTTAAACGTCTTCAGTTGATCCAAAATGCTGCTGCCAGAGTCTTAACTGGAGTTAGTAAGAGAGATCATATTTCTCCAGTTTTAGCTTCTCTCCATTGGATCCCTGTCAAATCCAGAATAGAATTCAAATCTTACTTCTAACCTACAAAGCTCTCAACAACCTGGCTCCATCTTATATTACAGATCTTATTGTTCCATATTTTCCTAACAGAGCACTTCGCTTTCAGGCTGCAGGTTTACTTGTGGTTCCTAGAATTTACAAAAACAGAATGGGAGGCAGATATTTCAGTTATCAGGCCCATCTCTTGTGGAACCAACTTCCAATCTCTGTCCGTGAGGCTGACACATTATCCAGTTTATAAACTAGGCTTAAGACTTTCCTTTTTGCTAAATCCTATAGTTAGGGTCGGCTTGGGTTTCCTGAGCTGTCCCTTAGTTATGCTGCTATAGGCTTAGACTGCTGGAGGACAAACTGACCACACTTTTCACTCTGCTGCTGTCTTTACTTACTCTGCTCAACCTTTTTTGTATTTGTAATTATTTTTTCTATCCTTAACATGTGTTGGGTTTTTTTTGTCCTTCAGATACACCTGGACCTATACCTGGACCTACCATTCTGTGTTCGCCTGTCTCTCCTTTCTATCCTCTCAAACCAGCCGGTCAAAGCAGATGGCCGCTTGTCCTGAGCCTGGTTCTGCTGGAGGTTTCTTCCTTTTAAAAGGGAGTTTTTCCTTTCCACTTTTGTCACTGTGCTTGCTCAGGATGGGAGACGGCAATGAAGCCAAGATCCAGCTTGTCTGCTGGCCTCCTTAGATACAGAACTTTACTAATTGGCTTTTATGTATGTGAATGTTCCTGTAAAGTGCCCTGAGACAACTTTGTTGTGATTTGGCGCTATATAAATAAACTGAATTGAATTGAATAGAATATTTTTTGGGGATTCAGTGTTTTTGTTCTCCTCCATGCCTCTGTGTGTCTCTTCCTTGTTCAGCTCTCATCACACCTGTCTGTACTTCTACTCACTCAAGGTATTTCTCATTCTGTCTCGTCAGTATTTTGTATAAAGTCAGAGCCTTTTCTTTCCTCATTTGTCCGGGCATTGTCCTGAGAAGGCTTTCATGTTCTGTCTCCCTCTATGTCTATCCTTAAAAGTAAGTTTGCTGCCCTGTCAGCATTTTGTTTTGTTTATTTTTAATAAACTTCTTTACTTTTGCCTTGGAATCTCCCGTTGCCTTCCTGCACGTGGGCTCAAACACTTAAGCAGATCATGATAAAGTGAGAACATATAATCCAGAAGTGAACCAGAAGCCATTCTAAGTTAACGCTAGCAACAAAACCAGGATTGAAGCCTTTCCTCTGAAAGTTGCAAAAAATGTTGAGCTGTACATGATTTTCCAGGGTGAACCAGGATCTGATGGAGCTGCTGGGATCCCTGGAATCCCTGGAGAAGATGGAACTGTTGGAGCCAAGGTGAGTCTGCATGTCTGGAGCTCAAACGTTCAGTCTGAGTAAGTTGTGGTTGGAAATAGGTTGAGTACATCATGAACAATAATTTCAGACAGCAATCAATGTGTAAATAAATAAAAAGTTATTAGGATATGTTTTCTTCTCTTTAATATAAACCAGATGTGTAAACTGAAGACAGCTGTCTGTGCTAAACATGCATTGTTTTCTGAGCAGTTTTATAAAACTACCACTCACACCAGTGTCAGGGTTTCAGACAGAGCAGGGCAGGAGTGAACCCAATGATGCAGGGAAAGGTCATGACTCCAGGATTTACTAAAATAAACACTTTATTAATAATAATAATAATAATAATAATAATAATAATAATAATAATAATAATCATAAATAAAAAAGGCTAACGTGGCAGCAACATACAGAAATAGGGAACGAGGAACAGATCAGGCTGGCAGGACAGGACAATACCCAACGACGACGCGGCAAAGGACAAGACTCACTGACAGGCAAGACAGGACGTGTTACAAACAGCTGAGAACAGAAGGTGTAAATAATCAGGAATAATGACACACAAGGGTGCACAGATAGGGAAGGCCCGCAAGATGGCACCATCCCTACAGTAACTCCCCAAGGACACCCCCTGGTGTCCCCAAAATATCCCCCCCCCCCCCCCCCAAAAAAAAAAAGACTTGGGTGGGTGGAGGGATGAACTGCAAGGATGGAGGTCCCAAGACAAAACATGACAAAAACAGACTGACAAAAATCAAAACCAGGGAACTAACTAGATACGAACAGGGGAGCACAAAAGTCTGGGTGGTCAGGAGACCGTCCATCAGGCCAGAGCAGGGCAGGTGGGCGGCCGTCTATCAGGCCAGAGCACGGGGGGCGGGCGTCCTTCCATCAGGCCGGAGCAGGTCAGGTGGGCGTCCTTCCATCAGGCCGGAGCAGGTCAGGCGGGTGTCCGGGAGGCCGTCCAGCAGGCCAGAGCAGAGCGGGTGGGAGGCCGGCCGGCCGGGAGGCCATCCATCAGGCTGGAACAGGTCAGACGGGCGGCTGGGAGGCCTTCCACGCAGGATCAGGTCAGATGGGTGGCCGGGAGACCATTCTTCAGGTCAGAGCCAGTCGGACATGTGGTCGAGAGGTCGTTCAAATAGCCATTCAGGTAGGGACAGGTAAGACAGGCGACCGGGAGGTCATTCAGGCAGGTCGGGGACGAGGGTCTCAGGCAAGTCAATATTAATACACAAAAATGTTAACTTTAAAATACTAGACACAGTCACAGATCCAGAGGGTAGATATTTAATAATAAAACTTTATATAAATAACTATAAGTTGTGTATTGTCAGTATATATGCCCCAAATGTAGATGACACCTCTTTTTTTCATGATTTTTTCTCAGCACTTTCTGATCACTTGGATTGCTCACTTACACTTGGAGGTGACCTCAACTTTGCTCTAAATGAAGAATTAGACAGATGTAGTAGAGCAGGAACTCAGCGTAGTTGGCAGTCCATAAATGTAGTTAAACAGTACATGAATGATTATGGACTTTGTGATACATGGCGATCTCTTACCTGAATCGTAGGGAGTATACTTTCTTCTCTTCTGTCCATCACTCCTACTCTCGTCTGGATTATTTTTTAGTCAGCAGCTCGTTGTTGACGGAAATCTCAGACACTGAGATTCACCCTATAGCTGTCAGTGATCATGCTCCTGTCTGTTTAAATCTAGCAAACAGAAAATAAATCCCCAAAAGTATAAACTGGAGATTTAATACATCACTGCTTGAAGATGTAGATTTTTATCAAATATTTTACAGAATAAATTGTAAATAAATTTTTCATATCTGGAGTATAATGACGTGCCTGGAACTTCAGCATCTATTCTCTGGGAGGCAGGTAAAGCTGTAATGAGAGGTAAAATAATTTCATTCTCATCACAAAAGAAGAAAAAAGAAAATAAACATATTCAGGAACTAGAAGAAACCATTAAATCGTTAGAAGCCTCTCAAGATGAAGAAATGCTGGATAAAATGTGTAAAGCAAAATTGAAATTAAAAGAATGTATTAACAAAAAAACTCAATTCTTAATACAACGACTTAGAATCGAAAATTTTGAACAGAGCAATAAGTCAGGTAGCTTTCTACCTAAACAGCTCAAAATAAATAAGGAAAAAACAACTATAGTTGGTGTTAAAGACTTGACTGGGAATACAGTTTACGACCCTGAAAGAATTAACAGCATTTTCAGAGATTTTTATAAAGACTTGTATTCGCCCCAGATAAACCCATCAGATAATGAAATTAATGAATTCCTGGATAAAATAACACTTCCTAAACTATCAGAGAGTCAAACAATGGAGCTGGATTCACCACTGACACCAGTGGAACTCCAGGAAGCCCTCAAAAGCATGTCCAATAAAAAAGCTCCAGGTCCAGATGGATTCCCAGCAGAATTCTATAAAGAATTCTGGAATATCCTGGCACCACTATTTCACAAAATGCTACAAGAAACTGAGAAAAATAACAGTCTTCTAAAAAATATAAATTCTGCCAACATTAGTCTCCTGTTAAAACAAGGCAAAGACCCTGTATTACCTACCAGTTATCGTCCCATATCTCTTATCAATGTTGATCTTAAAATAATTTGTAAAGCCCTCTCAAAAAGATTAGAAAAGGTAACTCCTCTAATAATACATCCAGACCAAACTGGTTTTATAAAAGGGAGACGTTCAGCCACAAATTCACGCAGATTATTTAATTTAATAGATTATTCTTACAGTAAAAATATTGAAACTGCAATATTCTCTCTAGATGCAGAAAAAGCCTTCGATAGAGTTAACTGGAAATTTTTATTTGCAGCCTTACATAAATTTGGTTTTGGAAATTATTTCATAAATTGGTTACAAATATTATACAGTTCTCCTTCAGCATGCATTAGGACAAATAATCAAATATCTGCTAGTTTTGCTCTGCAAAGGGGCACCAGGCAGGGATGTCCACTCTCCCCCTCACTGTTTGCTATTTTCATCGAACCACTAGCCGCAGCAATCAGGCAAACTACAGATATTAAAGGCATAAAATGCAAGAACAGAGAGCACAAAATCAGTCTATATGCTGATGATGTGCTGCTCTTCCTCTGGCATTCACAAACCTCCATCTCTCAGGTTATTGGACTGATAAACTCTTTCTCAAAAGTTTCAGATTACTCTATAAACTGGCTAAAATCCACAGTTCTACCAATTAATTGCTCTTTCATCAATTCACTTACTACACAACTGCAATCAGAGAATATTACATATTTGGGTATCAAAGTTTCGCCTAAATTAGCAGATTTAACAAAACTAAACCACACCCCACTTTTAAAGAAAATTGAGGATGATCTGGCTAGATGGAAATCTTTACCCATATCTCTCATGGGAAGGATCGCATCAATAAAAATGATGGTTTTGCCTAGAAGAAATTATTTATTCTCAATGATCCCAAATAAACCATCTTCTGACTGTTTTAGATCCCTGGACTCCTCTATTTCTAAATTTCTGTGGAAAGATAAACTCCCTCGTATTAGATTAAAAACACTACAGAAATCCAAAGATAAAGGAGGACTAGAATTACCCAACTTTTATTATTATTTTCTAGCCAACAGGCTAGAATACATCTCAAAATGGATAAAACACACACCCCTTGATGAACCCTGGCTAGACGTAGAACAGACACTTTGCATTAATATAATGATCTCGGACCTTCCATTCATTAGCTCAAACATAAAACGACAGGAATGCTTTAAAAGCATCAATATCAGCTCCTCTCTGACAGCTTGGTGGGAGTTTCTAAAAATGACAGAGTCTTCACTAATCCCTTGTAAACGTACACCCATCTGGAACAACCCTGACATCCTACAACAGAATAAGATGATAAACTTCCCAGGTTGGAGGTGTAAAGGAATTGAATATTTGGAACATATATATGAAGAAGTGGACTACATCCCATTTAACAGATTAATAACACAATATGGGATTGATAAAAATAAATGTTTAGAATATCAACAAATTAAATCTACAACCAAAAATAAATTTAACCTTAATAACACTAGGATTGAAATGTCAACAAGTGTATTGGAATTCCTTAATCTTAACCCTCCCAAATTACTATCTAAGGTTTATCAGAAACTCAGTAAAATAGATGAATCTATATCTCTTCCCATTGTAAAATGGGAGACAGACTTGTCAGTTAATTTTGACCAAAACTTTTGGTCACAGATCTGTCTGAGAACTTTTAAGATGACTAAAAACTTGAATTTACAACTAATACAACACAAAATCCTTCATAGAGTACACTATACAGGTCAACGGATGTTCAAGATGGGTTTTGCATCATCTAATATTTGCTCACAGTGTACAGACAATATTCCTGACAATTACATCCACGCATTTTGGTTCTGTCCACCTGTTCAGAGGTTTTGGTGCCGGATATGTGAAGACTTATCAAAGTGTCTGAGATGTAATATTCCACTCTCTCCGTCAGTTTGCTTATTGGGCCACTTAGATGATGTCACCTTGGAGACAAAATCAATTCATATTATTCTCACTGCCTTATGTATAGCAAAAAAAAAAACTATACTCATGAATTGGAAAATTAAAAAATACACTTAGTATTAAACAGTATAAATACCTTCTGTTGGATTACATCAGTCTTGAGACAGCCTGTACCCCCATATCAGACTATTCTCTCTGGACTTCTTTAATCGGCTCCAACACGTAGTGGAGGTGGGTGGTCCCCTTTGATTCTGTCCCGTGGGGCATGGTGGTCGGTGTGGGTGGGGTGTCGGGGCTGGGGACATGGGGGGGGGGGGGGGGGGCTGGGGCCGGGGGGGTGGCGCCCGACTGGGGAGGAAAAAAAAGAGGAAAAAAAAAAAAAAGGAAAATCTTCTCTCCGTTTAAACGATATTAAAGGCTCAGACCTGCTCACTCAGCTGACGTCCTCTCCGTCACAGATTCTTTGTGAGTTCAA